TGTTTGGGACTGTGGTCTACTTACACAGTGGGATACTAACTAGCAATGAGAATGAATACCTACAACTGCACATGACATGGATAACTATCACAGAAACAATAAAGAACTAAAGAACCAAACACACAGAAACAAATGCACTACAGTTTCAGTTATCTAAAATTCAAATTCAGGCAAAAGTCATCTAAGGTATGAGAAGTCTGGATCGTGGCTCTCTTTGGAAGGGGGATAATAGTGACTGAAAGGGGCTTCTAGGATTCCAGGCATGTTCTCTTTCTTCATCTGGGAGTTGGTTACCCAAATGTGTTGACGTTGTAAAATATTATTGAGCTCTACAGTTATAACTTACGCATTTTTCAGAATATATTAATGAGTGGATGTATATTTATATACCAATAAAATTTACCAAAAAAAAATAAAGTACAACTAATTCACTAGATCAGCATTAAATCTGAAAGATACTGGGTCCAGCCTGGTATTAAGTATTGAAATTTACTTTGTACCCAGTACTGTGTATGATTTTGCTGATATAATGGTAACTGTTATGGGTTGAATTGTGTGTTCTCCCAAAATTCACATGCTGCAGCCCTAATCCCCAGTACCTTAAAATGTGACCTTATTTGGAAACAGGGTCTTTACAAAGTTAAAATGAAGTCATTAGGGTGGGTCCTAATCTAACGTGACTGGTGTACATGTAAGAAGAGCAAATTTGGACGCAGACATGTACAGAGGGAAGATGGCATTAAGAGATACAGAGAAGATTGCCACCTTTAAGCCAAGGAGAGAGGCAGAGGCCTGGAACCGATTATTCCTGTACAGTCCTCCATAGGAAACAACCCTGCCGACACTCGATCTCAGACTTCTGGCCTCCAGAACTGTGACACGATCAATTTCTGTGGTTGAGCCACTCAGTTTGTGGTACTTTGTTACAGCAGCCCTAGAAAACTAACACAGTAATCCTCCCCCACTTCCCACACCTTAAACAAGTGTCCTAGGATCAATAAAACCTATTGTCCCTGACTACAACCATGATAATGGCAATAAACAGCCTAGAAAAGAGGAAAGTCACATAATCAAGGAAGTCATAAAAGGGTTCCCTGAGGAATTTTTAACTAAGGTAAGACCTGAAGTAAAAGAAATTATTAACTAGGTGAAAAAAAGGGATGAGCCTTCCAGGTAAAAGAAATGGCTTATTTTCAAGCCCCTTACAAGAGGAACAGAAAAAGGCAAGTGTCTGGCTCAAAGTAATGAGTAATATGGTAGATGAGAGGCAGCTGGAATTCTGATTATGCAGAGTTTTTTAGTCCGCGTTAAGGACTTTAGACTTTATCGCAAAAAGCAAAGACCTGAGACAACCATTTCGTGCATAATAATATGATGAAATATGAAATACTTCACATCACCTATGAAGTACCCTTGCCAAAATACTTGAACCTAAGTTTAGTCAAGTCCTTAGAGCTAACTTCCATTTATAGAAAATATGGCAAATAGAAAAACAAGTTAAAAAATACCATAAGGAAGCAACCAGACAAACCTAAAATGTGGAACACTCCCAGTAACAACAAGCAGTCCAACCAGCCCATGGGAAGAGAGAAAAACAGAGAGGGGAGGAGGAATACCCTAGATGCAGAGACACAACCACCAAAGAGAACACATGAACCTTGGTGAGAGCCTAACTGGAACTCAGCTGTAAAAAGGCATTCTTCAGCAATTGGTAAAATTTGAATACAGACTGGATATTAAATGATACGATAAGGAATTACTGTTAGCTATTTTTTAAATATGCTGTATCTTCCCAATGAAGTTGTAATCTTGGCAGCAGAGACCAAACATGAAACAGGTATTCAGAATGTGCTGTTGACACTGAGATTGAGTCTTGGTATTTAAAATTTAGGCAGGTCACAAAGCACTGGGAAATCATTTGTATCTCTGCGAAATTACTAAATTTTTGACTTATAAATGACCAGAGGAATTATCCTGACAAAATAAGCTCATGAGGAAAAGGACACAAAGCTAGATTGTGGTAGAGATGCCACGAGGCTCATGTTGGATCTTCTTCAGTGCAGCTTATAGGGAGGTTCTTACCACTTCCAAGCCCTGTATAGCTCCCAACTAAACTTCTTCCCCCACTTGACTTTATTTATTTATTTTTATTAATGAATAGTTGATTTACAATGTTATGTTAGTTTCTGGTGTAAAGTAATTCAGATATATAGATATTCTTTTTCATATTCTTTTCCATTATAGGTTATTACAAGATATTGAATACAGTTTCCTGTGCTACACAGTAGGATCTTGTTGTTTATTGATTTTATACCCCCCTGACTATATTCTTGCTCTTCCTTTCCCAACTCCGTCTCCAGGCATTTTAATTTATATTCACTTGACAAATTTCACTTTCCTTGGGAAAACTGCCAAATGGAATGCTAACAAAGAATAATAGTGAGTGGAGGAAAATCATTTTAAAATCAAAGCAAAATTAGCAAAACCAAAAGCAAACAACAACAGCTGCTGTTTCAAGCTTTTTCCAGATTTATATACCTACTTCATCCTCCTGGCTTTCATGAACTCATTTTTTTCCAAATTCTGTAAAGGGAAACATAGTAGCTTTTTATCAATCATACAAATATCACAGAAAAAAAGGTGTTAAGTTGCTGATACGTTAAGAATCAATGCAATTGAGGCCACTGTGAAAAACAGTATGGAGGTTTCTCAAAAACACTAAAAATAAAATTAACATATGATTTAGCAATTCTACTTCTGGATATATATCTGAAAAAAACAAAAACACTAACTCAAAAAGATACATGCACCCCAGTGTTCATAGCAGCATTATTTACCACTGTCAAGATATGGAAGCAACCTAAGAGTCCATCAACAAATGAATATGGATAAAGAAGATGTGGTATATATATATGTGCATGTATATATATATACATATATACATAAAATGGAATTCTACTCAGCCATAAAAAGAATTTTGCGATTTGCCGCAACATGGATGGACTTGGAGGGCTTTATGCTAAGTGAAATAAATTAGACAAAGAGAGACAAATACTGTATGTTATCACTTATATGTGGAATTTTAAAAATAAAAGTAGTGAATATAACATAAAAGAAGCAGACACAGATAAACTAGAGTTTATCAGTGTAGGGGATATATAGGGCGGGGCAATACAGGATGGGGAAGTGGAAGGTATAAACTACTGGGTGTAAGAGAGGCTCAAGGACGTACTGTACAACACAGGAAATATAGCCAATATTTTATAATAACTGTAAATGGAAAATAATGTTTAAAAGCTCTACAAAATTTTTTAATTAAAATTAAAAAGTAATAAAAGTGCATTAGCCCTCCAAAGAAAAAAAAAAACAATGCTACTGAAATAACCTCTCTCCTTCCCTTTCTTTTTCGCATCCTTCATCTTTTCTTTCCAAAAATTACAGCTAATGTGAAGACAGGATATAAAAATATTATGAACTTTTATTGCTTTTTAAATTGTGCACAAGTATTACTTTAAAAAACATTACGTGCTAGAGGGGAGAGTATAGCTCAGTGGCAGACCGCGTGCTTAGACATGCATGAGATCCTGGGTTCAACTGCCAGTACTTCCATTAAAATAAATAAATAAATAAACCTAATTATCTTCCCTCCCCCAATTTTTAAAAAAATATTACGTTTTAGAAAACTGAATTATAATTATCCAGTACTGTGTTTAGCAATACATGGAAAAATTGAGAACTCTTCTGAATTTGAACAGTAAGCCTAGCATTCCTAGTATTAGTGTAAACAAGACAGCTTAATACAGGCAATAAGGTAAGTTATACCAAATACTCCAAAGAGGGATAATTATACAAGTACAAATGGATAGATATGTGGAACTCAGTAAGTACAAACCAAGTAGAGAATATGTGTTTCTGGGACCCATTACATCAAAGAGTTATCTTCTACTAAGTTCTTCCATTATAGTATATACTTATACTACACACACACACACACACACACACACACACACACACACATATATATATATAAAAAACTAATCCTTACAATAAATCTTTAGGGGAGGTATTACTGTCCATATTTTACAAAGAATAACAGATAGAATTAGAATTTCAACATGAAACTGTCTGATTAACAAGTTCACATTCTTTCCACCATAAAACATAAATTTTAATTTATATTCAATTTAAATTTAGGAGGGAAAAACTTAGGCTCTTTTATTTTAATAGTAGGTCATTATTACCACATTCCATGGTCAAGGCTGAAAGGCAGCTGGTATGCTCTGGTGAGGCATAAGGGCTGAAAAGTGTTTTGATTAGTTGGGTTCTGTCTGATTAGTGCCCAAGCCATTCTGATCATTAAATATTTTGAATATCACACCTGTCCATGACACAGAACTCTGAGTCTTCAATCAAAAATTTATTCAGACTCTTGAAATCATCCCAAACCATTTCTTACGACATTTTCCATGCCTACGGGTATCTCAGGTCTATATCTTTGCAAAATTTGGCTGGTTCTCTCTCTAGATAAGGACATGTTGAAATTCCCAAGTTTTATAGTAGAAGCCTAACATTTGCTATTTCTATATACCAAAGCATAGCACACATCTTTGAATCAGTAGCACAAAATCACTGTACTATAGGTTTTTGCCAGTGAGTCTAACCTTGAAATGACATCCTGCCTTTCTTGTTAAAAGTCAGGCTAATAGCATTTGGTATTTGGGAAATCAGTCAACAGATAGAATATCACTCACACCTGCTTCAGTTCTTGCTATCAAATTAGATCACCAGAAGGGAATATATCTAGACATTAACTTATGCCCTTAGGTAAATTAAACTGAGATTTATACAAAATTATATTCTTGGATTTTATCAACATTCAATATATAAAATGACCATATGGAAAAAAAGGAAGCAATGGTATAAATATTTCAAGAACAAATATAGGCTTTTTCTTTCCTTGGATCAGCCCACCTCCCATTCTTGAGGATGTACTTTTCCTTTTTTTTTTTTACTTTTCATTTCTTTTTAAATAAATCTTTTTAAATCTTTCGCTACACAATGCACTATCTCCCGACTGCAAACTTATCTTTTGGCACATGAATAACTTTAAAAATAAGGAAGAAATAAAAATGTGAAAAATTCAAATGGACGCCTTCTATAAAGGACCCAGAGCAGTGTCACTGTGAAGGTCTGACTAGCTTCATTAGGGAGTGGCTGGGGATGCTCCTCAAACTTCAGAGTGCACCAGAATCACCTTGAAGACTTTAAACAGATTGCTGGGCCCCATCCCAGCTGTTTTTAATGGGATCTAAATATTGGCATTTCCAACAAGTTCCCAAATGATCTTGATGCTTTTGGTTCAAAAATACATTTGACCATTGAATAACATGAGGATTAGGGGCATCAACCCCCAAGAAGTCAAAAATCCGCACATAACCTTAACCACTCCAAACTTAACTACTAATAGCCTACTGTTGACCAGAAGCCTTACTGATAACATAAAGTCAATTAACACATATTCTGTATGTTTTATGTCCCATATACTGTATTCTTACAATAAAGAAGAGAAAATATTACTAAGGAAAAAAAAGAAATCTAAAAGTCATCATAACAAAAGAAGCATGATTTGCTTCTGAGACCTTCATACTCTAGATTTATTTATGTTAGTTATGACAAAGTCAGTTTGCCCAACCAATATACACAAAATGTTGTACAGGCTCCCTCAACTGGTTAAGATGTAGAATTACCAAAATACATGTTGCATTAAGTTGACTACATCATCCTCTTCAGAAATTTCTGTAACTCCAGCCTGAGATCGTAGAATGGACATGATGTCATTAGATAATTTGTCAAAACCATTCTGTAAACATATATTTGCCACTTCTTGCCATTTTTCTAGGGAGCAAAATGGATCCTTTATCATAAAATGTTCAACTGCATCTGAGGAAATAAAATACAGTATTATAGTATAGCCCTTATTTGATAATCCATACTTAGCTATTCTTTAAAAATAGAAAGATCATTTCAACTCAGTTACTATTAGACCTGATTCCTATAGTTTTAAGGTGGAGTGCTTAGTGGAGCTCACGGCAAGTACTCAAGTGTTAATTCTTTCTCCTCCTGCTTTTCCACTAACTTTTTCATGCCTCAATTCAACCCTCTACCATTTTTCACATTCTCTACTCCTCCAGTCATCTTCTTGGTAAGTTTAGCAGATATTGAAGGCTAGAAGGGAGCTCAGAAAGTTAAGAATGTGAACTCAGCCTTATTCAGAGTCTATAAGATACCAGTAGAAACTATCAAATAAATGAGGGCTTATAGGTCAAGTTTTCATGATCCTTTAAACACTTTTATAAATACCCTATTAGTGCTAACCTCAGCGTTTAAAGATTCTTTGGCAAAACCTCCATCCTATCTCTAGACAGAGACCTCTTAATGATGGGGCCCCCATAACAAATATTTTTCTAAAGAAAATAAAAGAAGAATTTTGTTTATTAAAGAAAACTAATGATATTATTTACTTTTGAAAATCAAGTATGGTGACCCTCTTTGGGACTATTTATGAAACTCATTTATCTATTACCTGCATTACTTACAATACTTGATGAAAGAGGATCTCTATTTAGGATATTATAATTATTATTATTTTATTTCTATGATTTCTATGACTATGATTATTATTTTTCTATCAAATACAGTGTTTTATCTGATATCTGTAATGACAATTTCTAATTTATCTTCCCAAATATTTCATGTTATTTACTATTCATTCTTAATTTAAAATCAAGTTGTCTGCTCAAGTTTTTATATTAAATTAGAGCAAGGAAAGGAAAAAGTGAGATCCAATTACTTATTCTTGATCCCACTGCAGAGTTAGATTCAGAGTAAATACTTGGTTTAGGAGTGAAAAATATAAAGTTTGTCTAAATACCATCTAAAACATACAAAAAAATTACTATATATACACATATGTTAATATACATAAAGTTTTTAGAGTAGTCTTAATTATTATAATTATTATGATGTTTCCCTGAAGCTTCATAAAGAGTCTCTCTTTATCCTAATCCTCTCAAGAAATATATACTTTGCCAAAAGAGTATTATTGACATGTTAGTTTTTACATTTATAGACTCAAGTTAACTCTTGCCAAGAAGGAACTCTTAGGAAGACAGAGTTAAACATAATAATCTTGATCCTTTCCCTAAATAACCCATTACTATTTCTTCATCTTACTCTACTTACCTTTCTCACCTTTATTTATTTCTTGAAGTAGCTTAATGCCAACTTTTTTCATGTCTACGAAGAACAGATGAAGTATAACAAGACTAAAAGATAAAGATGGTGGTTTCCCATTCCATTCTTTAGTGAGACACTGAATTAACTCAGTGTGGGGACATAACTTTATTAGCTGCATCAGGTCATCTGAAAACAGAAATGAAAAACTATGTCCTACTAAACTACTAAAAACTATGTCAACATCCTAATACGATACATCAACTAGCTAATATCTATTCTTGCCAATCAACACTTCTTTTTCCAATCCTTCTAAAACCCTCAATGATTTCAACATTACTATCTGCAATCAAAAAAAAAAAAATCATGCTCAGCATAGCAAAACACAAAGGAAAACTACCTATGCAAAGAGTACCAGGAAGAAAAATTTAACAAAGAACTGTCATGGAAAGAGATGTGGTGTAATAAAAAAGGGCCAGACTGACAATCGGGAAACCTGAATTCTGATCATAGTTCCATCAGTCACTTAATCTTTTGGATCTGTTTTTGCATCTTAAACTGCTAGAATTGGTGCCTCCAATTTCTAGGCTCTATATAATGCTACATTATGTTTGTCTACATCTTGTTGCTCATTTGGGGGCCAACTGCTAGTGAATATAATATTTTTCTTTCTGTGCCTTGCACAGAAAAGGAGTTCAATAATTTTTCCCTAAAAATATGAGTATTTAGAAACTCAAAAATGAAGATTTTAAGAAGTCATTAGCTAGTTCAAGTAGCTAGAGGTTGAGCCATATGAAGTTGGCTAAATTTGACCATTTTTGACTCCAAAGAAAAGCAGTTTCATATGGTTTAATCTACTAGCTAACCACTGATGTAATCTAAAGCTACAATCATGATTTACATATTCTTAAATTTATAAACTTTGTGTTAACTTCCTAAATTTTTTAAAATAAAAATATTCTTCTTGGGCCACACAGAAGTAATTTTCAGAGTAATTTTTGAGAGCCTTTCAAGATCTACTATTAACATAATTACACTCTGAAAAGTAATATAAGGTAATCTAGTATTTATTAAACACATATTCATTGTACTGGGAACTTACATATATTAGATCACTACATTTAATTTTCAGTATAAGTCAGTTATTATTCTCACATTACAAGTGAGGAAACAGACTTAGAGAAGTTAATTTTCCCAGAATTATACACATAGTCTAAAGCAGAACAGTTCTGATCCCCAAAGTCCAGGATCTTTCAATCAATGGTACTGCTCCTTCAAAATAATAAATATGTATGTGTGTGTGAACAGTATGTGTGTATATATACATACATGCATACATACATAAAGAGACAAAGGGAGAGAGACAAAGAGAAATGATAAAAGATGAAGCAAGGAACAGCAGATATAATTCAATATCAATGAAGTCAAATATTTTTAAAATTTTCCCTGGAGAAGAGGTAGAAATTTACGATTTATGGTCATTCAGTCTGGCCTCCACTAAGGTAAAGCTATTTATACAGCAGCATTTCATAACTCACTCATCTATTTCATTCAATCAGGTATTCAAATACTCTTCTCCATGAATTGATTAACCTATATTTACTGACTTATATACAAGATATGGTCTCTGACTAATCAGAAAAGACACAAGTTCAAATCCTATGACCTTCCCCCTCTGCTTGCAACACTTCAGAATCTATTCCCTTACTCCTTGGTTTAACATATTATACTCATCATTTATCTCATGTATGTTCTGTTTTAATAAGGTCATAAGGGTCTATATACCAACGCCAGTATTGTTTAACTCAAAACACCTGGAACAGTAGTTCTTAAAAAAGGGTCCATAAAGTAAAAACTATTTTCATACAAATACTAAGATTTGCCTTTTTCATACTCATTCTTTCACAAATATACAGTGGTGTTTTCCAGAAGCTACATGACATACTACAACAGACTGAATATAGGGTCACATATGGGAAGCTAGCTATCTTCTATTAAGCCTGACATGACAGATATTTGGAAAAATGTAAAGCTACCTCACTCTTTTCCTGAAATTGTTTCATTTTGGAAAAGTTATTTTTCATATAAATATTTTATCTATTATAACACATAATGGGTTTATTGTTATTTTAAATGAATAAATAAAAAAGGAAATTCTGCCATTTGCCCCAACATGGATAGACTTGAAGGGCATTATACTAAGTGAAATAAGTCAGAGAAAAGCAAATACTGTATGATATCACTTATATGTGAAATCTAAAAAATACAACAAACTAGTGAATATAATAAAACAGAAGCAGACTGACAGATATAGAGAACAAACTTGTTGTTAGCAGTGGGGAGAGAGAAGAGGGGAGGGGCAATATAGGAGTAGAGGTACAAACTATGAGGTATGAAATAATCTACAAGGATATATTGCACAACATGGGGAATACAGCCCATATTTTATAATATCTACAAATGGAGTATAAGCTTTAAAAGTTGTGAATCACTATATTGCACACCTGTAGTTTACATAGTATTGTACATGAACTGTACTTAAAAAACCTTTTCGGGTTTAATTTCTAATAGGATAAATATCAACTGATAGAACCCACATAAATAAAAGCTCTTTGGGATCTTAAATGCTTTTTTAAAGGTATACAGGAGACCTGAGACCAGAAGGTTTGAGAGCCTCCGATCTAGAATAACTCAGTTTCTAGAGTATTTCTTAGCTTCCGATTCTAGAATTCCAGCTCTAGGCTGTGCCCAGAAGGGTACATTCACTTGTTTTATGATATCGAGGAAGGTGAACAAACAAATCATTTCAGGCTGTATTCTAGAAATTACTAGTAGGAGGAAAAACAAAAAGAATCTTTACTTCTAAAACACATGTTCTGTTAGTCAGAACTATGCTTTTGGAACAGAAGACTTTTTTAGGACTTTACTGTTTTTGTTTTATTTCTTTGAATTGTAAATGTAAAGCTGATAGTCTAAAACTGAGAGAGAACATTTTCTTCTGAAACCAGAAGGTATTAACAAACTGAATCTGTCCCGAGGCCAAAGATGATACTTTGGAAAGCTGTGGTTGTTTCTCATTTAAAAGTAAAATAAACAAAGTAATTTTCCCAACATTGTTTCTACCTTTTAAGTTTAATTTTTCTCAGGTTATTTTTACTTTATGATGTTGTGTTTAAAATTATTTTCACTTTATGATGTTATGTTAAATAAATCCTGTGGATAAATATCAAGGTTCTAATTATATAGTAGTGTTATTATTTCTTAAATTATTATAATATACAGTTGTCCCTTGGTGTCCACAGGGATGGTTCCAGGACTCCCTGCAGATACCAAAATCTGAGGATGCTCAAGTCTCTTATATAAAAAACCTCTTATACAAAATGGCATAGTGTTTGCATATAATCTACACACATTCTCCCATACACTTTAAATCATCTCCAGATTACTTAATACAATGTAAATACTAATAAATGTTGTAAATACAATGCAAGTGTTATGTTAATAATTGCTACCACATAGCAAATACAAATTTTGCTACTGAGGACTTTCTGGAATTTTTTTTCCTTGAATATTTTCAGTCTGAAATTGGTTGAATCCACAGATGCAGAACCCGTGGATACGGAGGGCTGACTATATATTTAATTATTTTATAGTGTAATGCACTACAGAATAATACAATAATGAGTCAATCTTTTAAACAATTATTTGTTTATTTATATTTATTTATTTTTAAAGGAGGTTCTGGGGATTGAATACAGAACATCATACATGCTAAGCACACGCTCTACCACTGAGCTAAACCCATCTCTCCTCACCCCCGAGTCAATCTTGTTTCTATGTACTCACATGAGGCAAATTTTGCAAGTAAAAAAAAAATCTTCACACTTCGTTCAATAAAAATTCTAAAGGCAATTAAAACGTTCCATGTCTAAACTCTAAAATAATTCTATGGAAAAATAATACTGAATACAGAAACTGAATCTGTATAGTTTAGATAATAATAATAAAATATATAATTTATTCAACATACATATTGTATCGTAACTGACATATTCTATTCCATTGCTGTGTATACAGGCAAATTGTTTCTATCTCTGTGCCTTAGCCTCTCCGTGGACACAGTTTTATTTCATTTATAAAACAGGGATAATAACAAAACCTACTTCATAGAGCTAACATGAGGATTAAGTGAGCTAATGCATATAAAAAGCAGAACTATTAGCTATTATTACACTAATGGTAGCAGGCATGCTGTTACATAATGAATGAAGAAATTAATAACTTAAAAAATAAATTCTAAATAAAAGTCAATTTACTCTTTGAAAGTGATCAGATTCAGTAATCCTAAAGGATCATTTTTCCTGGAAAAATGTGACCTAAAAGTGCTGTTTTGTTCCATTTTGCAACTTCTTAGAACTGGAGTAAACAGCTTGCAAAATCAGGATTGACACAGGTCTGGGATATGGGGATATGTCAGGACTGCCTGTACATTAACTAGATTCATAATAAGAGATCAGCTCATTCAACTAGGGTCATCATAAGGCCCACAATTTTCTCAGGTCACAACCCAGTTGCAACCTAGGTGTTTCAAATTTTTAAATAAACATTATTTCACTAATCCTTTATTTCTAATGCTTATCATAGATCAGAACGTTATATATTACAAATAAGTTATTTTTTTTAATTCTTTAAGTAGCATGGTCCAAATATCTTCAAGTTTATCAAATGTTTATGTATTGAGGAAATACATAATGTATTTGAATGGTTAGCATTAAAGTCAATCAGCTCCAGCTTATCTGTTTTCACTGAAAATTACAAAAGAAATCTACTTATCAGTATATGTAAAACAAACTTCATAATGTAAACCGAAAATATTGCCTACTATCATGGATGATCCTACAATTCAAGTCCGAAATTCGAATGTATACAAATAAGTAGGCTTTTCTACTTACCAGAAGTAAACTTGAATTGTTGTATGTATTCCATGGCCCCATGAATTTGACCCTGTTTACACAGGCAAAGAAGAACTTTCTTGTGCAGACCACATTCACTATAGATAATCTGAGCTAAAGCCAGGCACTTGGACTTGTTGTAAGTATCCTGCTCCCCATAATCAAAAATCACATCCCCAGCCTCCTCAGAAAATGTCAGCCTAGAGCAAGCAGATCAACAGGGAACACATTAGTGAGTTCTTGTTGAGTAGACAGAAATGAAATATTTAAAAATTCAGCACACTAGACTGGATTTTTCTATGGTCTGTAAGAAATCCAAGTAGGCAACTGATGAAGTTAAACATAGCTAAGATTTAACAATAAGAACAACAACAATCAGCAGGTATTCCTTTGGGGGGAGTCAGTTTGGTGAAACTGAGCTCAACTTTTTAAAAAATTTACAAGCAAGGTTAAAACTCTGCTGAGAGGACTGGTGGGATTTAAAATTTAAAGGTAAACAAAAATTATCTTATAATTGAGGCTCTCAATGTTCTCTGCAATGATCTAGATTCTAAAACCCTGTAGGATGTAAGAAATTATTAAATGTTGGCTAAAGATAGTGATAAAACTTTTAGCTCAAAATTAGCAGGAGATCTTGCAAGCATTTGTACTAAAAGAAAAAGAGAGAACGTGTGACAGCAGTGGTTTGCTTTTTTGTTGTTGTTGTTATAGACTTGTAAGAAACAATGGGTGGTGAAGGGAAGGACATAACTGTATTAGGAGAGACTGAAGAAGTAGTTGTTTTGAGATGGCTCAACTGAAAACACTTAATTTTTCATCAATTTTAGTGTACTATCTTCATACACAATTAAAAGGAACCATCTGTACTAGACAGTAACCACCTAGAAACTATCAGCGTAAGCCAAGAACACTTGGGTATGATTAAAGGTATCACTTCTGATTAAAGGTATCACTTCTAATTACTGGCTGTACTGATATTACCCTTTAGTTATATTTTTAATTAATAGATACAGAATAATTTCACATAATGTTGTCTGTATACATGCAACAAAATGCCAATAACATTAAAATGAAATTCTGAAACTCCTGCAAAATGTCTCTTTACTGAAAACTCAGGAGATAAAGGTCCCTCTGTGTGTGCTGAGGTGGGCAGCAGAGAGGACGTTCTAAAATCACAAGGCAGCTTCCAAGTACAAATCAATTTTTTAGTAATTCCCTGACTTCCATATTTTAATACCAAAATATAAGTTCTGGTATCTACAGCCACATTTCCTGAGGCTGAACAAGACATTTCACTTGGTGTAGTGACTGCAATACTGGAGCAACATGAAAATAATAGTATTTTAGTATTTATTTCTCTTATTAATACCATTATTTCATGATTTTAAGTGGTCAGCCTCACGATGCTGCTCCACCTAAGAGAAGGTGAGGCTAAGGTCGCTCTGTCTTGGCTAGTCACTTTCCAAAAGGCTAATGAGAAACAAAGAGTATGATTAAAAACAAAAATATACAAAGGGAGGTGGAGGATCAAGCCCCAAAAGAACGGAATTGGCCCTGAAGGCAAAAAAGGGAAAGAAAAAAAGGATTCTAGTCCTGGGGGTAAGAGAGGTAGTCAAGCACTGTGGATCAAGCTGGGAAATGAGCCTAGGAACCTCCCTCCCCTTTTCTCCCCTTAATCACCTCATCATACTCTGTTTCTGTTCTCCCAAAGCCCCTTTCTTGGCTCTCCCCACCCTGACTTTCAGAGACTTCACAAAGTGGATCTGAGATCAGATTGACTCTGGAGAATACAAATGACTAATAAAATAAGTTTCACTCAACTAGTAAATGAAGGCATATTTGATTACAAACCAGACTGTAAATCTTTAACAGTCAAAATAAGAGTATGCCCTTATATATAATCACTAAAGCTATGCATGGTATTCATTTAGTGTTATTTTATAGGATTGGGTCTGTAAAGTTAATATTTCAGAGGATATTTTTCCTTTCTAGGAGAAATATCTGCAATTTGGCGACATTAATAGCAGTAAAGCATCATTTTTTAAATTTAGGCTTTGTGGGTCAAGTGATTAGACTTTTCCCAGGTAAGAATGAGTAAGAGAGCCAAGTTTAGTCTATAAACCAGGCTGCTTTAGGGCTGGCTTTGTGCTGAGCTTCAGGAAAAGTTGAAGAACTTTTCACATAGCTATGTGGTAGAGGCCAGGTCATCAGTCAGAGATCAGGGGACAGAAGCTAAGAATAAAAAGAGTGAATTTCCTTGAGTATTCTGTTATATCATCTCTAGATCCTTAAAAGTAGTGGAACTTTCCCCAATTCATGTACTCAGGGAACAGCACAAAAGTTTTAATTCTTATAACTAAGAGGCAGAATGGGCCTATAACCATCGGTATAAATAAGGAAATTAATCTTGCTTCACGTGTCTTTGCACAAGACAGCAAGTGTTAGTGATGAACATGAACTTTCTGACGATGTCCTCACGTCCGAACCATTTCTAGTGCTCCCTGACAAGTACTTGTATGTGGATTGTAGAAGTGTGACCAAGCAGAGGAAGAAAGAAGGAGGCAAAGACTGAAAAGAAGGGTGCACGTATGAAGAAGTTTCCTAAAAAAGAATTAACTATTATGTGAACAGTAAATGAAGGCATAACAAGAGGGAGCGAGAGAAAGATCCTTTGCACTGGTAAGCCCTAGTGCCATCAATCCAGGACAGCTTATGACTACCCAGAGCTGTTCAGGGAAATGGTGAATTTGGGGTGGGTGGCAATAGGCAACAGTATGCAAACTTGCCATTTTTATGTTTGGGGCATTTCTAAGTCATAGATTTGTTATTTAGGGAATGTTTACATTTGTCCATCTATCTCCCTTACGATACACTTCTTAAAGTTGAAAATGGTAACTACTCTCTAATATGTAGTCTACGTCCCTAAGCATTTAAAGCCAAGTAAACACAGCCCTTAGGCTGCAAAGCAAGCAGGCTATGACTACTAGAGATGACAGGGAGGCCTTTCCTCATTCAGCCTTCCAGTTCTCACAGCTCAACCCATGTCCACACAGACCCAGCAAAAGCAGCTGGTATTTATCCTCAGATTGATCTTCATAAGCTGGTAGGCACTGTTTTGGCACCTCACCCAGGTCCCCTTTACTGGACCAGTGCCCCTTCTCCAGCTGACTACTGACAGCTCACAGCTGCCCACTTCTCCAAATAACTGTCCTCAGTTGACTAGAGCCACCTCCCCCAGAAAATTATGCCTATCTTTCAACCCCTCAGTAGTCTAGAGCTGATGACTGACAAGTAAGGGATACAAAAAGCCAGTCACATTATCAAGGGGAAACAACTCTGGTTTATCTTTTATAGCTCTCTCCCTGTAATACTGCCTAATACTAGACTTTACCCGAATTCACATCCTTGCTTGGCTCTTTCCCCTTCCCTTTCCTATCTCACTCCTTCCTTACAAAATTTCCCAAGGAGTAGTAAATGACATGCACCCAAATGCAAGTATCATGTTCTCTTCAAGGGAATAGGGAACCTGAGTGCCAAACATTTCCCTCTGCCCTGCCGCCTAGTAACAGTACTACATTATTATGATAAAGTCAATCGGGACTTCCACATTCACACAGCCTAAGTTGCAGGCATGGGAAACACAAACTCCCTGTGATGGTTAATTTTATTGTCAACTGACTGGGCCCAGATATTTGGTTAAATATTATTTTGGGGGTGTTGGAGAATGTATTTGAAGACAGTAAAATTTTAATTGGCAGGCTGAGTGAAAAGAAGAATTCCTCCTGCCTAAATACTTAGCTAAGACCTCAGTCTTTTCCTGCCTTTGGGTCTCGAGGCTGCTGGCTTTCAGATTGGAATTTACACCATTGGTTCTCTTGGGTCTTGTTGATTGCAGATCTTGGGACTTCTCAGCCTCCATAATCATATGAGCCAATTTCTTATTTTATATATATTTTTTGTTTCTCTACAGAACCCTGACTAATACACTCTCTAAGCAGACTCTTGGGAGTGACAGTTGAGCAGGGCCACTCTTTATTTCCTAGATCCAAGTATTCTACCTGCTGGGGATACAGTACCATATAATTATCATTGTTTAAGGAGTACACTTCATCCTGAAGGATGTTACTACATCTTCAAAAGATGGAGTGACAAGCTGGCATCACCTGGATACCACCTGAAATTTCCATGAACCAAGTTTGGGTTCTTTTCTTCCTCTGCCTGCTGGTCCTAGGTAACCACACCCTTGCATAAGCCCATAGGTGTGAGCCATGGAAGCAGTATTCATCAGGCAGTGGTAGTCGACATGGGGTCTGGGCCACCTGTTTATGAAGCTTACTTGCATGCTCCGGACCTGCTTGAGCATGATCTTAGTTATATCTGATTTTGGATGGACTCTTATGATTCACCTGACCTTATGACTTGGTGAGTCTGTCAGAATACAGTTGAATGATAAGTATTTCTAGTTGCACAGTCATTGATGTTCCATAGATAAACACTGCAACTTCTGCAGGACCCAACAGTTGTTTTTCAAATGGTATACAGTTGTCTGTTACGGGTGGTAGATGATCTACTGGGATATCTCTGGGTAGCCCCATGCTAACTGAAAATTGTTAGTGGGTAAATCAATAACCATGGTTTGATAAAGGCATGATAACCACCGTCATCCTACCAGACAAGCCATTGAGACCAAAAGAAGTATAAGAATGTAAAATGGGCAACAGAGGAGAAAGATAATGAGGTACTAATTGATATGGATGAATCTCAAAATAATTATAAGTGAAAGAAGCCAGACCAAAAAGAAAAAGAATACACAAATGTATGATTCCATATAAATAAAATTCTAGAAAATGAAAACTAATGTAGAGTAACAGAAAGTAGACTAGTGGTTATCTAGAGATGGGGAGGTAGGTAGAATGAGGTGGTAGAAGGAAGGAGGAGGCCCTATAAAGGGACATAAGGAAACATTAGAAGGTCATGGATATGTTTACTCTCTTGCTGGTGGTAATTTCATATGTGTATACATATGTCAAAACTTGTCAAATTGCACACCTTAAATACGTGCAGTTTACTGAGTATCAATTATATCTCCATAATGATATTTTTTTTTTGAGGAGCTTTTTTTTTTTATTGAAGTATATTCAGTTACAGTGTGTCAATTTCTGGTGTACAGCATAATGTCCCAGTCATGCATACATATACATGTATTTGTTTTCATATTCTTTTTCATTAAAGGTTATTACAAGTTATTGAATATAGTTCCCTGTGCTAGACAGAAGAAATTTGTTTTTTATCAATTTTTATATATAGTGATTAACACTTGTAAATCTCAAATGCCGAAACTTATCCCTTCCTGCCCCCTTGGCCCTGGTAACCATGATTGTTTACTATGTCTGAGAGTCTGTTTCTTTTGTAGATGAGTTCATTAGTATCCTCTTTTTTTCTTTTTTTAGATTCCACATATGAATGATATCATATGGTATTTTTCTTTCTTTCTGGCTTACTTCACTTAGAATAATGATCTCCAGGTCCATCCATGTTGCTGCAGAATTTTTGTTTCGTTTGTTTGTTGTGTGGCATAATGATATTTTTTAAAGATTCATCAAATTGTATACATCTAATATGTATAGGTTATTGTATATAAATTGTATCTCAATAAAGTTGTAAAAACCCTAATTACAGCCCTAGAACCTAACATCAAGGGCTATAGTTCATTCCACTAACCCTCTTCTTATAAGATTCCCCCAGAATTAGGACCACAGCATCCTGAAGAAGCTGTGCCTGCACGCAGTGAACTTAAACGTGAGAAGCAAACAGATCTGTGTTGTGCACATGGCTGACTAAGGTAGATGCTGTTTGCTGTCCTGCCCAAATCTTCCTTCCTGGGCCAGCACACTCTTCCCCAGCTGCTCCAGGTGTTGGATGCCAGTGGCTCACAGATCCTTCCCTTCCACAGGGAATTGCCCTGGGCTAGGAGGAGCCACCATGCCCAGGAAGATATGGACTCCCACTCCATCCAGGTAGCGTAAAACCCTTGACTGACTGTTAGAGAAGCACAGAAGGCAGTCCCCTTGCCTCAAGCAGGAACAGCTCTGTGGTGTGTTTTATGCTTCAAAGCCTAAATAATGCCAACATTAGAACTTGTCTGAGGTCACAACCTTGGTTGGCTCTTTCCCCTTCCTGCTTCACTCACTCCGTTACAGGTGCTTCTTGAAAAGCTGTCCTTCTATTAATCATGTGCACTCAAATTACTGTCTCCGGTTTTGGTTCCAGGGAACCCAACCTAAGGGAACCCTGGTACAAATCTACCAATTTGTACTGAGACTCAACTCCAAGAAGTCACCTCCTGCCTGTTTGTATGTTTTTCTAAATGCTACATTGGTCCATGTCCCTCCTGCTTATAAATTTCCTCCTAGGTTTATTCTTTACATGTATTCACAGCCTGTCCAAAACCAGGTTCCTGCTTTACCCCTCTGAGCAGAATGATACTGAAAATTCCTTTTCTATCCTTAGTGATCAACTTCCATCCACCATTAAGTGGTCATGAATCATCTCATGTAAGTCAACTTCTGTTCTGGGTTCATTGTGACTAGGTCCCATTACTCCATCCTTGAATGCTTAGTAAATACTTTCTGACCAATTAATTGCAATAAAGACGTGAAATAAATGCTCAAATAACATATTGATATGAAAACTATTACAATTTTGAGAAGAACAAACAACCTTATTAACTAAATTTCAAAATTAAGTTAAAAGCTTAACTTTGCTTACCTTTCCTGGGTGACCCAATTGACAACTAAATCTAAACGTTTTTCAGATAGTCCACATTTGATTCCTTCCAGAGTTAGTTCTGCATCTATAGGATGTCTAAAAGCCTGGCTTGTGCTAAAGATAGTCTCAAAAAATAAGAGTAATGGAAAAGGCTTTCCTTTAGTTTTTCCAACAGCTACAAAGGGAAGAAAAGTTTTTGAGTCAAATACTGTCAAGTACTAGTTTGCTTTTTCTTACTTCACATTATTATTTTCATCTTGTTGCATTTTCTAAAAAATTTAATCTAAAATTACACATTTATAACTTTTAACTAATGCTTATGGCTTAAACTGTATTTTGGATAATGACTAAGTATCATACGCTATGTGAAAACCAAGGCAGAGATTGGGGTGATGGGTCTAAACGTCAAGGAAGGCCAAAGACTGCTGATAGTCACCTAGAGGCTAGGAGAAGCATGGAATGGAATCTCCATCAGTGCCTCCAGAAGGAACTTAAAAAAACTCAAAGAAAATGCTACCAGAAGACTTGCACTATAAGAAAGGTTAAAGGTAGCCCCTCAAACAGAAGAAAAATGACACTAGATAGAAATACAATCTACACAAAGGAATGAAGATCAGAAATGGTAAATGCTATGAATATAAGCATTTAGAAGTACAGTTGATCCCTGAACAATGCAGGGGTTGAGGGTACTGACCCCAACACAGTCAAAAATACATATATACATGTATCCATGTTGGCCCTCCATATCCACAGCTCCACATCTGTGGATTCAACCAACCATGAATCATGTAGTACTACACTATGTATTTATTGAAAAATATTTCATACACTTCAAATCCACGTTGTTAAAGGTTTAAATTGTATATTGTTTTTATACAATGCATTAAGTAGTATAATATCACCTGAGGGTAGAATGTGATAAGTTGAAGATATAACCTACAAACCCTAAAGCAACAACCAAAATAAGACAACAAAGAATTATAGCTCATAAATCAACAAAAGAGAAAAATGGAATAATAAAAAAACTCAACTATGAAGTCTTTCATCACACATCCTTCAACTTGCCTCTCATGGTTCAGGGTGCCATGTGCTATGAACTGATATTTTTTTCATGAATCCTTTAAGTATTGAGCAGTGTAATTATGACATTTATGTAGTTATTTATAGTTCAAGTGCTTTCTGGGCAAACATTCAAATATATTATATAGTTTTTTCAAAAAAAGAATTCAACTAATCCAAAAGAAGGCAGAAAAAGAGAAAAAAAGTAACAAAGAAGAGAAAAGAAAAATAGAAAACAAATAAAAGTCAACAATCACATTAAGTGTAAGTGATCTAAGTACTCCAGGTAAAGGCAAAGATTGTCAAACTGTATAGAACAGTAAGATCCAAGTATATGTTGCCTAGCAGACATTGACTTTACATACAAAAACACAAATTAAATAGATTAGAATAAAAGTACAGAAAAAGACATAGCACGCTAATACTAACCAAAAGAAAGATGGAATCACACTTCCAATTTAAAAACTTACTACAAAGATATGGTAATCAAGATAGTATTATGGCACAGAACGGACATCTAGAGTAAAATAACAGAATTAAAAGTTTAGAAATAAACCTCAAACAGTTACAGTCAACTGATTTCTTAAAAAGGGACCAAAACAATTTAATGGGTAAAGAAAAGTCTTTTCAACAAATGGTGCTGGGAAAACTGGATATCCATATGCAAAAGAATGAATTTGGACCCCTACCTCACACCATACACAAAAATTAACTCAAAGTAGATCATAAACCTAAATGTATAAAACTCCTAGAAGAAAACATAGGATCTTAAATTAGACAAAGACTTCTTAGATACAATACCAAAAGCACTACCATAAAAGAAAAGATTTGTAAATGGGACTCCATCAAAATTAAAAACTTCTGTGTCTCAAAAAACACCAACACGAAAATGAAAAGACAAACCACAGACTGGAAGAAAATATTTACACATCATCTACCTGATTTTGTCTGGAATAATAATAAAAAAAAAACACTTGCAACTCACTAATTTAAACACAAATAATATAATTATCAAATGGGCAAAGAATAGACATTTCTCCAAAAAAGATATACAAATGACCAATAGGCACATGAAAAGATGCTCAACATTGTTAGTCATTAGAGACACATAAATGAAAACCATGAGACACCACTTCACACAGATTAGAATAGCTACTTTCAAAAAGATAGACATTAACAAGTGTTGGTAAGGATGTGGAGAAACTGGAACCCTATACACTGGTGGTAGAAATGGAAAATGGTGCAAACAGTTTAGCAGTTCCTCAAAGTATTAACCGTGAGTTACTATTTAACCCAAAAATTCTACTCCCAGGTATCTACTAGGGGAAATAAAAACATGTCCACACAAAAACTTGTACACAAGTGCTCATGGCTAAAAGCATGGCTTGTGCTAAAGATAGCCTCAAAAAATAAGAGTCATGGAAAATGCCGTAATAGCCAAAAAGTGGAAACAACCCAAATGATCATCAACTGATGAGTAGATAAACAAAATACAGTATAATATGATGGAATATTACAGATCAAAACAGAGTAGACCTACAATATATGAACAACTGTTTATTTTCAACAAAGGTACAAAGGCAATTCAGTGGAGAAAGTCTTTTTAAATAAATTATTTAGACAGACTGGGATTTCAAAATTTGTAGATACTGACAAGCATACACAGAATAGATAAACAAGATTATATTGTATAGCACAGGGAAATATACACAAGATCTTGTGGTAGCTCACAGTGAAAAAAAATGTGACAATGAATATATGTATGCTCACGTATTAACTAAAAAATTGTGCTCTACACTGGAATTTGACACAACATTGTAAAATGACTATAACTCAATAAAAAAAAGTTAAAAAAAAAATCTTAGAACAACTGGGTAGCTACAGGCAAAAAAATAAACTTTGACCCATACCTTGTACCATATATAAAAATTAACTCAAACTGGGTCATAGATTTAAATGTTAACTAAAACTATAATATTCTTAGGGGAAAAAAAGGAGAAAAAAATTTCTGCAGATTAGGCACAGATTTCTTAGGTATGACACTAAAATCTCAATCCAAAAAAGAAAAAGAATTCATAAATTAGATTTCAGCAAAATTAAAGACTTCTACTCTTGGAAAGATACTGTTAAGAGAATGAAAAAGATAAGCCACAAAGTAGGAGAAAGTATTTGTAAATCCTGTATCTGATAACGGATCTGTATTCATAGAACAGGATACTACTCAGCAATAAAAAAGAATGTACTATTGATGCAATAACATGGATGAATTTAAAAATAATTATGCTAAGTGCAAGAAGTCATTCAAAAAAGAATACCTACTACATGAATCCATTCATATAAAATTCTAGAAAATGCAGACTAATCTATGGTGACAAAGCAGATTAGTGGTTGCCTGGGGACTGGAGGGAAGCTATGGGAGGGAGACAGGTGGGAGGGGTGGAGAGGCGTGGGAGAGCGGGATCACTGAGGAGAATAAGGGAATTTCTGGAGGATGTATGTGTCAAAATTTAACAAACTGTGTACTTTAAATATGTACAATTTGTTATAGGTATGTCAATGTAACCACAACAAAACAGTTTTTGAAATGAAATGGAGCAAATGTGACAAAATATTAATATTTATTAAATCTTGATAGTGAGCACATGCTGTTATTTATGCATGTATATATGTTTCTCCATACCTTCCCGTATACTTGAAATATTTCATAATTTTAATTTAGAAAACCTAATCAAACCCCTTAATGTCACAGGTGAAGAAACTGTAAATGGTAGAGATAAGGCTGGGACCTAGTTCCATTCTATCAGGGAAAAAAAGTTTAATTAGCAAACATATATAAGGTTAAGAGAGAAATGCTTACCCTTAAGCTTATTCATTGTCCCAGTGTTTTGAAGAATTCCTTTAGGGCTGTTTGCTGCAAAATAAACTGCCTTTTCATATTCACCAAGTGAGATTAATTCATCGAACCTACAGCCATTGTATTTCATTACACATTGTAACAGTACACAAAAAAGGAAAGAAAATTGATTAGAAATGTCTAATACAGATTAAACATAGTAGCATTGTAATACAGAAAAGTAATTCTAATAAACTGTAACTAGATTCATTCACTCTGTATGATATTCTTTCACTTCCTTCCCTAATATTGTTGTTTTTGTAGCCTCAGAATGAAACTTTGGCCTGCAATGACTTTGAACCTGATCCTGCACTTTATTCCTACAGTACTTAGAGCAAACCATAGAAAATGGGAAGAAACAACTTCAAGTGAATGTATAACGAGCTCAGATTTTTCCCTCTTACACGGTCTCCAGAAGGAAAGGGGCATCACGGGAAAGAAGAGCATAGAGGCTCAGCCTAGAGGAAATATTAACTAAACACAAAGGCTGCCAAGTTGGAGACCAAGAGGTGTCCCCGGTACTCAGAAGCCTATGTTGCTCTGCCAGGCATCAGACTCCCAACTGATTGTGAGACTAACTCAAGAAGAAAAGATGATATTTAACTTAAGCCTTGACTTCTCTTCTCAGGGTAAAACGTCTTCAAATCAGCCCTTATCTCAAAATTAATAAAACTATAGCAAACAGGATTTATAAAATGTTGCAAATAAGTATAGAACCCCAGAGGAGAAAAATACCTAAGTAATATTAAGCAAAATACATAAAACTTTTAACCTCAGCCAGGGTTTTTCTCTCATGTCTAAAGCTAGCACTTAGAGAAGCAAACAGCGTAAGGAAATAACAGGCTTTAGAGTGCCCCCCAAACATACTACATATGTTCATCACATATTGGCTCACAGCCTATGAGAATTAACCTCTTAAAGAAGAGCATCTTAGATCTCTTTAAGCCTCTACTATACACTAGACATAACTTAATAAGTTTCAGGGAGAAGTATGCCTTCTTAATATGTCACAGGATGGAAATAATGAGGGGAAAAAAGGACTAAGTTGGCTAGAATAATCTGACTCAAGAAGACATTCTCAAAAACATTTTATAACATCAGGTTGATGGTTAGAGAATACAAGGAAAATATAAATAAAACTTAAATAAATGTTACAATCTACGTATATCCGACGAAAAATCTCCTAGACTACCAGTCTGATTTTTTTAACAAAGATCTATTTTTTTTATTTTTATTTTATTTTCTAATTGGTCTACTAAAGTAGAATTTTAAAGATAAAAAGCTAGAGACTACAGCTCAAAAAGATGCTAAATAAATGCTAACCACTTAATAAGTATTTAAATAAATATTAAATAAATCTATAACATCTTAACAAGGAAAATTAAATATTCACCTTTCAGTGCAGGAAAGCAAAATTTCAGTTTCTTTGGCCTTGCCCGGGTCAATCTCAAGTAGTTCCTCAACAATGCCGTGGTCACCTGTAAATATTGAAAGTACCACCAGATGATATTTAAGGTTATCAATCAATAGAAAATAATAAACATATAAATATTTAATACCAACAACTAAATGCTACGGTTTCTAACAACACCAACTTCTTCTTAAGTGGCCTGAGTGGCCTCCCTGTCCCTTTCTTCCTTATTCTCTCTTTGGTTCAGCAAGTCTACTCTTTACCAATTGTTTGTCAGCTGTTGAGGGAAGAAGCCCATAGGGTAATAGAGACCTAACAGAAGTAAATACATTTTTCCTTTATTTAAACTCAGCCTAGGAAAAGTCCCCACTTTTTAGCTTTCTGGGGAAAAAAAAAAGTTTTCCATTATCTGTATTAATTAAAAAATACAGCTCAGTGGTAGAGTGCATGCCTAGTATGCGAGAGGTCCAGTTTCAAGCCTTAGTACCTCCAATAAAAAAATAAACAAACCTAATTACCACCCCCCAAAACAAACAACAAAAAATAAACTAAAAAAAATAGAGATCAATTACCATGTAAAACTTTAGTTTTCTGAAATTCCTCCACGAAGTCTTGAAATGATCTGCTCATATCAGATTTTAACCATGAAGTAAGTGCATGTGAAATAATCTGCAGTTTGTGATGACTATAAAGATAAAAAAAATTAATATACTGAACCTAAGATCAAATAGTGGACTATCTGAATAAACAAATAAAAGCTTCAAACTTTAAAAATATATATTCAACTTTCATACCAAAACTGTAATTCTTTGTTCAGATTTTCTGCTAGATCTCGCCGTTTTAATACTGCAATCATTTCCTCATCTAAATCTGCCTTCCTTTGAGCTGGTACATATTTTTCTGACATAATGTGTTTAATTTCTGCATATTTGTCTTCCAGAAGTTTCAAGTGTTTAGTGAGAGCAGCTAAACTGACAGATTCTTCGAGAGTCATGCCTATGGGAAAAGAGAGTAAATTAAACAAGACAAGCCACGTATGGGTGTCTTGCGCTCAAACAGTAAGTCTTAGCCAAATAGGTCACATGGTTCACCATGTTAAGAAATAGAAGCATGAACTTGTAGATTATAGAACATAAACAGAATTAGCATACATTTCTTTTTTCCTTTTTTAATTATTTAAATTGATGTACAGTCAATTACAATACATCAATTTCTGGTGTACAGCACAATGTCCCAGTCATGCATCTACATACATATATTCATTTTCATATTCATTTTCATTGAAGGTTATTACAAGATACTAAATATAGTTCCCTGTGCTATACAGAATAAATTTGTTTTTTAAATCTTTTTTTAATATATAGTAGATAACATTTGTAAATCCCAAACTCTCAAATTTATCCCTTCCCAACTCTTTTCCCCGGTAACCATAAGATTGTTTACTGTTTGCGAGTCTGTTTGTTTTGTAGATGAGTTCATAGTGTCCTTTCTTTCCTTAGATTCCGTATATGAGTGATATCATACGGTAATTTTTTCTTTCACTTTCTGGCTTAGTTCACTTAGAATGACGATCTCCAGGTCCATCCACATTGCTGCAAATGGCATTATTTTATTCTTTTTATGGCTGTAGAAATATACCACAACTTCTTTATCCAGTCATGTCAATGGACATTTAGGTTGCTTCCATGTCTTGGTTATTGTATATAGTGCTGCTATGAACAGTGGAGTGCATGTATCTTTTTGAATTAGAGTTCCATCCGGATATATACTCAGAAGTGGGATTGCTGGATCATATAGCAAGTCTATTTTCAGTTTTTTGAGGAATTTCCATACTGTTTTTCCATAATGGCCACACCAAACTACAATGTAAGAGGGTTCCCTTTTCTCCACAGCCTCTCCAGCATTTATCATTTGAATGATGGCCATTCTGACTGGTGTGAGGTTTTGATTTGCATTTCTCTGATAGTGATATTGAGCATTTTTTCATGTGCTATTGGCTATTTGTATGTCTTCATTGGAGAATTGCTTGTTTAGGTCCTCTGCTCATTTTTTGATTGGGTTGTTTGTTTTTTTGTTGTTAAGTCGTATAGCATACATTTCTAAATGGCTGGTAGTTTCAAACAAATCATCAATGAAAACTTCATGAAGACTGATTGTCTAAAACTTAGAATCTTAAGAAAAAAAAATTTAATGACCTAATCACCTCACCTTGCAAACCTCTAAATATTGCTGTTTCTCAATAACATCAAGAACTTCTGCCTGACAATTCAAGATTTCTGTCCAATGATTCTTCACTAATCCAGTCTTTCACAAATCTACTTCAGCTAACCCCAGGGTAATCTGTTTATTCTCTCCTATGCAAAGTTTATAAATGCCTGCCAAATCTTCAGTCCTCTCTCCTATTCTTTATTCATAACAACACACACACACACACACACACACATCCACACACACATCCACACACACTTCAAATTACTTCTCTTCTCACTCAGGCTAGTTGTTGCCTTTAAAGGCATACCTCAAAATTCTCTCCCAGAAACCCCCAGGATTAATCCTACTCAGTTTTAATCATTCCCTTTCCCTGAATCCTCTTAGCATGTAATCAATTTGTCAGTTATTCTGTACTTACTCATATGTATCTTATTTGTAGTTTGCTAGTCATAATTTTGTATTTGAAGTGAATCAAGTCCCTGCTTCCATCAAACAAAGGATGATCATCTAACCTCTGTTAAAATCCTCTAGTAAGGAGTAGCTCATTATCTCAAGACATAGTTTCTTCCATTGAAATAAAATCTGACTTCCTAAAATTTCCACCTATTGTTTCTGCATTTGGATAAATACTAGTTGGAATCCTTAAAAGTTCTAAGTGCAGTTATCTATTGTCAAAATCTTTCTTTTCTCCAGGATGCATATATGAAACTCCTCCATCCGTTCATCATACAAATTATGCAATATCCTGGATGAATTCCAGGACATATCCCAATTTCTTAACATATGGCTTAGCTGAAGATGAGGAACCAGTGAACGCTGACATCAATGTGAACCAACAATATTCACTACAACTTAATATACCACAATTTTTTCATATATAATGCTATGGGTTCTCAAACTTTAAAGTACATCAGAATAACCTGGAGAACCTGTTAAAACACTGACTGTTGGGCTCCACACCACCCAACCCCAACTCCCATCCATGGAGTTTGATATTGTAAATTTGCAGTGGGACCAAAAAATTTGCATTTTTAACAGGTTCTCAAGTAATGCTGAGGTTGAATGTAGGAACCATATACTTTAAAAGCTATATATTATACTTTATACAATCCAGCCAGACTAAAACTCTTTTAATCTTTTAGGGTTGTTTAAGTTTTCTCATTCCCTTGTATGTATCTAAGAGACCGTGCTAACATTGTTTGTAAAGTCTGGCTAAAGTCCTGGTACATTTGTAAGATATAAACATGGTAGCATGTATATACTAATTTGTGTAATAGGTAATAACTGGAAGCAGTTGGAATTTCTCTCAAATATTTTAAACAAAATACTGTACCTGGAATAGGTTGTGAAGGATTTTTTGAGAAAGTACAATATTGTACTTCTTTCATGTCATACTCCACCCTATGTTGTTTCATTTTGTCTATTTGCAATTGAATCTTTGAGGAATTATTTTCAATAAGCTTCAGCCTGAAAAACAGAAAGGCTTTTTAATGTTTCTTTCAACTAATTTGATTATTTAATCAAATGATTTAACATAAAATAGGATAAATTATCTCTTTATTTTGGCTAATTATCATTTGTACGATTATGGACTTAGGTGGAAATTTACAAAACAATGCCCAGAAAAAGTTAACAAACTTCACAAGTGAGGAACAATTTTCCTTCAAAGCATCAAAAAAAAAAAAAAAAACTTATGCTATGATTTGTAACCTTATTAGAAACTTATAAGTGCTAAACATAATAATCTGGCCATGAAGTACAATGTCTATTCCCTTTAGTTGAAAATCACCTTTGCAATTTAAAAATTATTTTCATAAGTAATTGTATTAGTTTTCTGTGGCTACAATAACAAATTACCACAAACTTGGTGGCTTAAAAAGTTTTATTTTTGAATAAATTTGTTCTTTCACAGTTCTGGAGGGGAGAAGCCCAAAATTAGTATCCTGGGTCAAAATTTGTTATTTTCAGGGCCATGCTTCCTCTAGAAGCTCTAGGGGAGAATCTGTTCCTTGCCTCTTTCAGCTTCTGGGGGCTGCTGGTCTTCTGTGGCTGCATCACTTCAATTTCTGCCTCCGAGATCACAATGCCTTCATCCTTTTTGCCTGCATCAGTGCCCCCTCTACCTTGTGATGGTATTTAGGGCCCACCTGGATAGTCTAGGATAACCTCCCTAACTCAAGATTCTTAATAAAATCACATCTGCAAAGATTTTTTTCCACATAAAGTAACATTTCTAGGTTTCCAGGATTAAAACTTGGTATCTTTGGTGGCCTACTATAGTATTCAGCCTACTATAGTAATTTTGATCCTAGAGCTAGAGGAATGGTAGTACTTCTTTGAGATAAAACTGAGTTCATCCAGAAATGGGGATCTTAAAGGTCAAGAAGATAGATATAAACTTCTTTTAAGTATTATTTGAAATTTGCTTCCTAGTTTATCACCAATATGTTGGCTCAGGGAGAGTTAGATACATTAATATTACAGGGCTTTTGGCATATTAATGGACTATTATTCGGCCATAAAAAGGAATTAAGCTCTAATACATGTTGCAACACAAATGAGAAGGTATCTAATTGTTCCTCTTCTCTATAACTACCTTTATGATCTTTTATCTTTGAAATTTCAATGCAATAAATCTAGTTGAGTATGTCTTATTATTTACAATGGGAGTCTTGGTCTTCTCGAATCTGTGAATTGGTAACATTCACCAGTTCTAGAAAATTCTCAGCCATTTTCTCTTCAAATATTGTCTTTGTCCCATATTCTCTTCTCTTTGAGTTGTGACTGGACATAACATAACCTTCTCACTCTATCCTCTGTCTTTTTTTATGCCTTAAAAGTTCACTCTTGTAAAGTATGTAATTCAGTGAATTTTAGTGCATTCGAGGAGTTGTGCCACCACTATCATTTCTAGTTTCAAAACATTTCATCACCCCCAAAGTAAGCCCCATATCAGTTAGCAGTCTGCTGAGCAGATGGCAATATTCTATGCAGTTCCCACAGGTGGAGCAGTTTACCGCTGGTTCACTCTTCAAGGATGTAGCCCTTTATCATCTCAGCTTTATACGGGAAGGATTTCCCAGTAGACTGTACCGCTTGGGCAGACAGTCCCTGGGCTCTGTCTTTTGTTCCCCTGTGCCACAGTAAAAACTAAAGCTTGTGGTCATCATTATTAATAAATGCTCTCAGGGCCTAAGAAGCCTTAGTGCTCCTCTTACCTTTTGCCTTCTGTTATGATTTTGCCCTGATAATCTCTTACTATCTTGACAGCTTCGTGTTGCTTTTGGAAAAAAATGTTTAAAAATACTTTATGCAGCATTTTGCCCAATACGAAGATCTATCTCAATATCTAGCCAGCCATATTATCAGAAATGGAGGACAAACTTCACATAATTTTCCAAGTTGACTTATAAGAATAAGTTACCCATCATTGCCCAAATGGAACACTGAAAATCTGAGACTACTTGACAAGAATGAAGATTTTATCCTCTCCCAGTAGGTTACCTACCTTTGTGCATCACCAGGTTAAGTGCTCTAATTCAGGTAGTAATCATGAAATTGTACTACTGAAGCTTCCATACAAGAAATTACCTGGACCAATTATCTGCACCCCTCATTTTATGATACCACAATGTGCCTCTAATTATCCTGAGAGATTATAAAATTCTCAAACAGAATTAATATTTTTTACTTTTAATAAGTAAAAAATATAGTAATTTCAAGTTGGTAGGAAGGGTAACATAAAGACATGGCTTTAAAAGAAAACTGAAATTCAGAAAGATTGAGAACGACTGGTTATAGTTACAATGGCTAGTTAATATAACCAAACAACAACATCGTCTTTGGCACTACTTACTAATATACTTACTTTGCTTGAAGTTGGATTATTCTTTTCCTGTAGTATACCAGTGTTGTGGGCTCTCCTGCCAAAGCTTTAAGTTTTCCATGAAGATGAAATGCAGCTCTTCGGCCTTTCTTTATTGTCTCAATAAAGGTATCATATTCTTTTTTGATTGAAGTAAGAATGGATTTATATGCAGTAACATACTCTATTACCTGAAATATGATTTAGCTGCCTTTGGTACTGAATTTTTTTCTAGAAGACTATGGATCAAAAGCCTTGCAAGTAGCATTATAGATTATTTTTAAATGAAACATGATAGGCAATTAGAAATCTAAAATTTTACAAATTTGATCTTGCACTTACATGCAAAATGACTGCATGTTAAAGACAATCATTACTGAAAAAGTGCCCTTTGTGAATCATTATAATTCTGTGAGCTTATATATGAGACAGAAAAAAATACATCTTTGCTCTACTTAGTATGAACACATATATGATGTCAGCTAAAACCAATACCAGGTCTAACTATCCGATTCTTGATCTCTTAAATATAATTACATATCAAATATAATTACTAGTCTCTGACTTCACTCAGACCTTAAAATCCTGGACTCTCTTCACCTCCTCCCTGTTTTTCTAATCTACCTGCTCCTACTGGCTGATCAATACTCTCAAACACCAAATTGCATCTCCATTCCCAAGACATCAAGTACAATTGTTGAAAACCTCTCACACTAAACATGCATGGTTTACAATGGTAATTAAGTACATAATAACTCTGGAAGGATAATGGGAGAAAACAGAAACCTGCAGAGAAGGAAAGGTTAAGTAGGATCCAAAACGAGAAAGATTTAACTTTCCGCAATAAACTCTTCTTTATTGTTTTTTTTTTCCTTTTTTTCTTTCTTTTGTTTCTTTTTTGTTGTTGTTGTTAATCTTGTATATGCATTACCCATGTAAAAAAATAATAACTAAGAAATATTTTAAAGAAGTTAAAAAACAAAAAAGTCATAAATAATTTATAGTTTCCAAATTCTGCTCATGAGAATTTCAGAAGGGATCGATGCTTATAGGGAATAGATATGATCAATCCTCAACTTTCTCTGAAAGATACAATTATGCTCTCTACCCCTGCCACACGTCCAGTCTCTGGTATTCCCCACTGGTTTTATGTTAGCTAAACAATACCTAGAAAAAAGTTATCCAAGAGGACATCCGGTGTATCAAGAAATGCTGTGAGATAACTGATCAATAGCAAGTACCAGGAGGGGATACTTGAGCGGGAGATAGTGGTGGTCTTGTTGACCATACTACCTATCTACCCAAATCAGGACTGCTATCCAAGAACTCTCAATAAAATAGAGACTATTAATCTGTGGTCTTCCAAATTAAACACCTCACTGTTCCCAACCATCCTCCATTCCACAAGCCTCTATGAAATGCTGCAACAATCCAAGACAACTCCCAGATATGTTAATAGACAGAAAATAGACTTTTAGTGACACCACGATCAGCTCCCATAGAGGTTTGCTAGAAGAAATAGATTTCAGAAGGACACCCATGGGAACTTTCAAAAATGCATAGAAAATGCATTAAAGTAAAGGAGGCAAACTGGTATGCCAGAGGCAGAATAGTTTTGCTTGACCCACAAGTTATTTTAAAACTTAGGAAATTTTACCCCAAACCTCCATTTTCAGCTTTTCTTGAAGACTGTGAAAAATCCACCAACATGAAACCCCTATTCCTTAATGGCAATAATCAGCTGGAGGTGTAGACTGGATTGGTTCTTCATTTTACCACACTCTCCATGATTCCTTATTCTCTTATAGCCAGTCCACTTAACTCTTTTCTGTGACCTTCCTGGCTTCTGCCAGCATTCAAGTTTCAGAATCTTGTATTAAGGCTTCCATTAAATACCCCCATTCCTATATATGGATCTACACTATTTGTACAACACACTGCCAGGAACACAAAAGGCCAGTCACATTCCAGAGTCCAGCTGCCTCCATAATTCACTCATTTCTATAGATGCTCATTTTTCCTAGCTTTGGTCTTCTGTGCTTACTAAGTCCTCTGCTTTCTCTGCAATCCTCAACTCCTGTTATATGAGTCTCAGGTCTCCTTACTCTGATTCAGGCATTATTCTCCAGGTCAAATCCTCTGTCTTTGATTTTAAACAGAATTTGGTATTTGTTCTCTGGTTCTAAGTACTCAGAGATACAAGTTAATACTTTCATCTTCTGCCCAACTAGATCCTTCCAAGGGGGAAGGAAGATTAGAGAAGGCAGTCTTTAATAATGTGCTAACAATCAAATGTATTGGAATAACATGAAAACGGAAAGGCAGATTATCTTCTGAGAAGCTAGAAGAAAAGTTTTTCTAAGCACTAAATGATTTCTATTTCAGATCCCCTCTCAGTCCTGAAGAACAGAACTCTTTACAATGTACAAATGTACAACTTATAACTGTACAATGTACAAATAGTCCAAATGGAAATTTTGCAGGGTAGAGAGAAAAGGATTATGGATATAGATATTATCTTGTATTTAATCCCATGTCTTTTCTCTAAGAATTAAATTTACCAATACCTCCTCCAAAATGACTTCATTATAACTATGTTAATTTATTTCTTTAAATAAATAATGTGTGGGAGGAGGTAATTAGGTTTATTTATTTATTCTTAGAGGAGGTACTCAGGACTGAACCCAGGACCTCACACATATTAAACTTGCGCTCTACCACTGGAGCTATATACCCTCTTCCACTAACTATACTGACTTAAAGCAGATAGTTCTTCATGTAAGAAAACTTCTGACAAGCGTCAGCATTTGGGCATGCAAAGATAAACATGTTAACAGTGATAATACTTTCCTTTGCTGATTTCACACAAGTAGAGTCTCAGCATGATTCTTGATACTTATAAAACCCACTACAAACAATGCCTTTAAACCTTCATGTAATACATTCCTTAATAACTAAAAGACCAAAGCCATATCATAACTCATAACAACTTATAAAATGAATCTAACCTGCCAACATACCAGTTTGAAAAGATAGATCTTCTAGATTACTTAGAAGAAAAGATTCTGTTTCTCAATTTAGTATACTAGATCAAATCTAAACCAAGACATTAATGATACCACAAACAACTCCAAAATAACTAGGAGCTACCAGGTTCCTGCTCACAGTCCCATTCCTGACAAACCAGACAATATTTTGAGATGGAATGTCAAAATGATGTTAGAGGCTGTTGCTCAAAAACTGATAGCCTGCACTTAAGCTAAAAAACATCTGAAACACTTATTAACAGTCTAGTAATAGAAATCCAGCATTGCATTCCCCCCGTTCATCACTGTCTAACAAACTGGATGAACTTCTCAAAATTAACAAATGGAATGTAGTCACACAAGCTGTGGTGTTACTCAGGCAGGAATCACAGTTATCAAGACAGACCACTTCTACAATATGAAAACTCCATTGTCTTAAGTGTATTATGATACCTTATCAAAAACGTTTCGGTATATGATGTAATATTCATCAGCAGGTCCTTCCTCATTACAGCCCACTCTTTCGGTTTCAGTAATTATGTATTTTTGCATCCTTTCCAAAAAATCCTTGTCACTTCTTCTCATGATAGGCGGAAGAACTGCATGTCTATTTATTCCTTGGACTGACATATGTCACAATCTGCACAGTTGTTCACCAGAGAAAAGTTAGGTCTTGACTTGCTTCTGCAACAATGCCAAAGATTTTGATAAGCCTAAAAGAAAAAAAGACCACAATTAATCTGAAGCTTAAAATAAATTGAGTCAAATATTGATATAAAAATGTATATTTGTTTCAGGAAGACAAAAGTGTCTCATGGATCTCTGAGATAAATATTTCAACCTGCGAAATATAAGGTCTGATCTCTTCTACTGCCATGTGCTATACCTCTGGGAGAGAAATACCAAATACGAGTCCATAAAGAGTTCTTTTCTTGCGAAACAAGCAGATGTATCACATGATCTAATGGTTTCTTATACTTTTCAACACTTTCTAACAGAAGTTTATTACCATTTTGTATATTTCGTGTGGGAAAACTACTTTGGAAGCCTCCTGATGTCATAAACAAGGTCAAATATTTCTCCACCCATGTACCTCCTGGTCCAGTCACAGTTATCTAACACACAATAGTTATAAATAATTCATTGTTTTTATGATAAACTTTATTATAATTCTTACCTTTAATAAGAATGTACTAAAAAAAAAGTAAGAAGTCAGGACTTCTGTTAAAATCTATCCATTGATGATGTCAAAGATAACAAGCAGTACCTTCTGAGTGTGGTTTTCAAACAGCTACCTTTCACTGCTCTTTTAGTAAAGAATCACAGTCCAATTAGAGTTGGATACAGAAGTCGGATCCTGAGATCTATTCACATTAGCATCAAACAGAATCCGTGATTTGCTTAAAAATGCCTGGTAAGGCGAGACGTTTTAACTCTCCCCACTCTCCTCACATGGTATAAAATTTAGAAAATATAAATCAAAGAAAATCAATGAAAGATCATCTAGAATCCTACCATCCAAAGATAATGACTTTAATATTTTGGTGTATTTCCTTCCAATTTTTATAATTATAAAAATTATAAAAATAATTATAAAAATTAGCATCACACTCTATACTCAGTTTTGCATCCTAATTTTTCCCACTATTAAAAGCACTTTTCCATGTTGTTAAATAGTTTTCAAAAAACATGACTTCTAATGATTGCACAGTATTTCATAGTATAATAGACCATAATTTAACCATTCCCCAAAGTTGGACATTTTCACTATTAAAAGTAACACTGTGATGAATAAAGGTCTAAATCAATTTTACCATGTTTTGGCAATATGATTGATATCTGGTTATCTGAAATAACATATATGACCTATAAATATTACCCATAGGCCATATATAGGAGGAGCGAGACATCAAAATAATTTCAAAGTTTAAAAGACCTAATTTATCTTTATGTTGATGAACTGGGTAATGAAAGATCAGTTTACAAATAAACATAAAGTAGTTCTAACCAGGTAATAATCCGTAGATGGATCAACAGCTTTCCCAAATAAGAAATCAGTTCCTTTATTCATTCATTCAACCAATATTTAATGAGTGTCCACTAAGTGCCAGGCATTGTTTTATAGTTAGAGATTCAGCAATAAATAAGATAAAGTCCTGGGTCCTTGGAGCTTACAGTCTAGTAGGGGAGACAAACTATAAATAAATACTGTAATATCAGATAGTAAAAGATAAAAATCAAAGGAGGAAGGAATGGATGTGATCACTGGGGAGTGAGTGGTCACATATGAACACCAGTGTCTTCCTCCTACCCTTAGGATAAAATCTAAGTTCCTTTATTTAGTCTACGGTTGCCCTATAGGAACCAGGGATTCTTATTCTCTCTGACCAAATCTAGTCTTTTCATGACCCTGTCCTCCTAACCCCCATCCACTCCCATGAACTTGCTCTCTTGCCTGAGGGTCTTGCATAATTCTCTCCACATCCCAGCATTCCCTTCCTGCAACTTCACCACTCTCCTCCATCACAAGATACACATGGTGCTACCACTTTCATTCACTTGGCTTTTACTCATTTTTCATATTTCGGCCTATCAGCTCCAGGAAAAGCTGCCCTGGATTCCCTTAAACTTGATCAAGTACCACTGCCATGTTCTCCCATGCACTGTGCACCTTCTCTATCATGGTACTATCACTCAAAATTCTATTTATATACTTTGTCTCTCCCAGAGGGTGGTAAGTTTGATAAGATCAGAACCAAATTGTTCTCATTCCCCGTTATCCTTCCCCACCCATATGCATTCCAGTGCATAATACAGTATCTAGCAGACTACATACTCGGAAAAAAAAAAAGCTTAATAATCAATGGTCTCTGAGCAATAACTTGGTCTGCTCGAAGACATGACTTGTGTCCTCAAACCAGAACATAGCTAAAGTGATTGTTCTTCAGCATCTATAGAATGCCACTGAGTTACAAAACCAACTCATATGACCTTTCACTTACTCATTCATATCAGACACTGAGGGACACAGAGAAAACAAGTCACAAGGGTTCCCAGTCAAGTACTGGGTCTAGCTGAATGAACCACTGCTACAGAGCAGAGAAGGCAGTGTGACAGGTGGGCACAATGGGCTACAAAAGCCCAGAGGAGACTCTCAGTATTCTTTAGGAGAGGGCAGGGGAACATCAAGGAAAATACCTAATGGAATAACATCCAGGACAATGCTTAAGTTGTGCTGCATTTGTTTATTCAATAAATGTTTCGGGGGAGGAGGGTGGAGAACTACTGTGTGTCTGCCACTACTCCAGGCACTAGTGATATAGCACTGAACAAAACAAAGTCCTTAACTCCCAGAGGTTACATTCAAGTAATGAGACAGAAGACACACGAATAAAAATATAGTATAACAGATGGGGGTAAGTTGTACACAGAAAAATAAAACAAGGAAAGGGGGATAGAGAGTAAGGAAGGTGGGAGGGTGCCATTTTATATAATGCATTAAGTCAGAAAAGAGGAAAGCCCTCACTGATAAGGCAACATTTCAGAAATCTGAAAAACGCAGGTAATGTAGATCCCTGGGAGAAGAGTGGTTGAGGTAGGCAGAGCTGCAAGTCCAAAGGCCTCAAGGCAGGAAGGCACATCTGGAGAACAGCAAGGTTACTAGAACAGAATGAGAAAAGGAGAGAAGAAAGATGAGGTCAGAGAAGTAGCTGCCAGGTCATGTAGAATATAGTGCCTTGAAGGCAGGACCACTACCAACCATCGGGCACCTTGGTGCAGTTTAGAAAAAGGTGCCTCTTTCTCTGGGCAGACTGAGCAAGACCTCTTTCTCTAGGCAGACTGAGCAAGAGAAGCAAGGAGCTGGAATGGGGCTTCCAGTCATTCCAGTGTGGGACTGACAGGCCTTGCTTATAGGAACTTGGGCTTAACTCTGAGTGAGATGAGAAGCCATTGGAGGGTGGTGGGCAGAAGAATGACAGCTGACTTACATTTTCAAAGAATAGCTCTTGCTGTTCTGTGCAGACAAGGGTCAAAGTTGAAAGAACTATCACAATAGTCCAGGCCAAGGATAATGGTGGCTTGAATCAGACAGGTAACAGCAGAGATGGTGGGAAGTGTTCTACATATATGCCGAAAATAAAACCAAGAAGATTTGCTGAGGAATTAGATGTGGGTATAAGAGAACAGTCAAGGATGACCATGAAGTTTTTAGCCTCAGCGAGTGAAAAGATGAGAATTGCCATTTATGAGATGGGAAGAGCAATTTCATAAGATAAGGAATTTGGGGCTGCCTACTAGAGATGCTGTGTAGACAGCTGGATATGTGAAGCTGGAGTTCAGGTGAGTAGTCTCAGTGAGGGGTAAGTTCATAAGTCATCTGCATATAAATGATATTTAAAAGTTATGACACACAATGGAAAATGACCTAGGAAATGTAAATAAAGCAAAGGTCCAAGGACTCGGCCTTGGGGGCATTCCAAAGTTTAGGGGTCTGGTAGATAAGGAGGAAGCAACAACAGAGCCTGGAAAACAATGTCTAGGGAGACAGAAGGGAAATGGAACTTAAGCGAAGAAAGTTTCAAAGACGCAAGGAAAGATCACCTGTGTCAAAAACTGCTAACAGATCAAATAAGATTAAACGACCACTGAACTCAGCTACATGGAGGTGATTAGTAACTGCAAGAGCTGTTCCACTGTGATGATGAGGGCAAAAGCTTGATGTGAGTGGGTTAAGTCAATGGAAGGATAACAAATGGAGACAATGAGAAAAGACAACTCTTTCAAGGAGTTTTGTTGTAAAGGTGGAGAGTAGTTAGCAGACTATGGGACAAAGAGTGTTCCAGGGAGAAGAAATGCCAAAACATGAAAGGAACTTCAATTAGCTCAACGTTATCAAAGTGTAAAGAGAGTAACGGGTTTAGCAGATTAGGCTGTTAAGAGAGGCAGAGGCTGAATATCATACCAAACAATCTGGATGTTATCTGAAAGGTGAAGTAGAATAATGACATAATTTTTTCTATTTTCTACAATATTTTGGAGGTGGGTTAGGAAAGACGACTGGGGACAGAGAAATTTAAGGGGGGCCTGAATTTGGGAATGGGGATGCCTAGGGGAGGGCATAGAGAGATAGAAAATATATTACGAAGGCACACATAAGGATTTGAGCAGTGGAGAAAGGCCAGGGGAAGGGTGCAACTCGCTGACTGGCCCGCCTTCCGGGAGAGCGCCCTACACAGACTCCTAAAACTTCCCCTTAGGACCTTCACCACCACTCCAACGTCCAAACTTGGAAATTCTACACTAAATAACCATTCTGCGGGTTTCTTTCCCATACGGCTTCATTCGACAATTTGAAAACTACTGAGACTTTCAGCACATTAAACTGTTCCACACCACGTAGTGACACACCAGACAGAACTCCTTAGGCTAGGAGAGCCCTGGGGGTTGAAGGCGGGGAGGAGCCACAGAGCGAGAAAAGGATGGACGGAAGGTTCTGAAGACCTACTTCTCAGCTGACCTGGAGCTGGCCACAGGAAAGCCCTTCTTTTGAAGACCCAAGGAGCGTGTGGTGGTAGATGGCTGACCCTCCTCGCCTCAACGCCTCTACATGGGTGAAAGACACTTTCGTTCCCCCAGCCTTCTCCAGCTTCTTAACTTTCCTTCCTATTCATTTCCCACCCGATTCCGTCTTCCCGAAACCATTACTGCGCTTCACCCTTGCTCACTCCTCACCTTAATCCTTCTCCAAACCCCGACTCCAGAGCTAGGCGACTGTAACTAGGGAGCTCGGGGGTGTGGAACTGCATCTTGGGACAAGTAGTCCGAGCGAGAAGAAAGCAGCGGAAAACTACAGTTCCCAGAAGACACTTCTGTTTCCTCCCGGTTCCTCAATGAGGCCCCTTCAACCCCACCCCCTTTGAAAGACCCTCTTAGCCACGTCAACTGCATGGGAAAAGCCTTTTAAAGACATTTTTAAGTTGTTTAAATCTATTATTTCGAGAGCGTTCTGAAGGTTAAAATGAGAACTAAGACCAGGCTAGAGCGAGGAAAAGTGAGGTCAGACCTGGTCTGGCATGTGGCTGGACAGCCGCTGAGACAGCGCTCAGGCATTTGGTGTAGCCGCCTAGGAGGAGGGGCCTCCGGGGAGTGCCGGGAAAGCCCGAGGGCCGGCGCGGCGTCCTTCTTTTCGGATCCGCCATCTGTGGTGAGTGTGTGTTCTGGGCCGCTCTCCCACCCGTGGTCTGCTAGCGCCCGTCCTGGGTCCCCAGGTTTCACCTGTCTCCTCCTTTTCCTCATCTTCAGGTGGGACTGCCGCCAAGATGCAGATTTTCGTGAAGACCCTGACGGGGAAGACCATCACACTCGAGGTACAGGCTAGGCGGCGGGAGAAGCCAAGGCCTGAACGAGGAAGGGCCTGAGGCGGATTTCGGGAGCCCTAGAATACGTTTCCGAG